TACCCGAGAAGGAAAAGCCTCGGGCGAAGATGGCATAAACCCAGAAATGCCCATCCACCGTCGATTTACGGGTGTGGTCAAGTACCGCATTACATACGTACTAACAGAACAGTTTTCCGCCAAACACATGTGTGCTTTTGGTAAGCTGAAGCCTGACATTCAGCGACATTTGGTTTCAATGCCTTCTTTCCTTAAAAAAATGTATCCATTTTTGTTGAAAGTAGTGAAAGACAAACCTGGTCTCGGCTGTACTCGACAATTGCTGCGACTAGCGCATGCAGAATAGAATCTAAAGAAGGCAGTGCTACTGACTGAAGTGTTTTTACACCATTCCCAAAGGGGATGTATTAACATTTTTTTCTTATGCACTTGAATTGTAAATGGGCTGATTTATCAATGGCATGCTCATCATACTGGGCCGGAATAACAAGGAATAGGGGGAACTGCTGCTTTTTATTTCCTCATCCTTACTTAACTATCGTCATTTTGTCCTCTACTTTTTTTGTATGTTTGTCACTCTCTTGTGAACTGCTATTTCCGGGGTGCCTTGATAGTCAAACTCAAAGCAGATTTTGCACTGTTGAGGCTAGAGAGGTGAGAAGAGTAAGCCTGATTCCTCGTTTTTATACCTCTCTGTTGACATCCGCCCCTTGGCGCTCATATGACCTTATGCAGTTGCGAGCGCCGTAAATCTTACTAAAATCTAATACTTACGGGGTGCCCACTATGTTTGGGATCAGCAGATCGGGCTGATCGCATGATTCAGTCGCCTCAAAAACAAATGTGTTTGTTTTCAGTACTAGAAAGGCGATCGGCCCGATCCTGCCGTAATGGGCTCCCCAGAACAAACAAGAATTTCGATCTAAAGTCTAGATCAATTTTGTTTCCCAAAAAAAATAAAGTGCTCTAATTTCCGGCTTCCGGTGAAAGGCATATCACTAACGTCGTCAGCTCGCTTCAGTTTAATTTTTTTCTCGCAATTCGTTTGAAAACATAATAATGCTGTAAAATTTTTCAAAATTCTGCAAAAAATCAAAATTCCGCGACGGCACCGCAGTTGATCCATTTTTCCCGCGGCCATGCCGCGGTTGCAGCGCCCGCGCAAAAGTACGATGTCAGATAATTGGGCTAATTCAGGCTGACCATAACGAAACCGCTTACCGAAATTTTGTACTTAACTTTTCTGAATGGTGTGAATATCATAAGCTGCTTGTAAATGTGAAAAAAACAAAAGAACTTGTTGTTGATTTAGAATAAAGAAACTGCCCCTGCAGCCACTTGAAATTAAATGTGAAAACATTGAGCAAGTGTCAGACTATAAGTATTTGGGTGTTACAATAGACAGCAAACTCAACTGGCGTGTCCACACTTCTCTCCTGCATAAAAAAGTGAACAAAAGACTATTTTTTCTAAGGAAGCTAAAGTATTTTAAAGTTGATAAAACATTGATGTCCATATTCTACCATTCAACCATAGAAAGTATGATCAATTTTTGTATAACAGAATGGGCTGGGAATACAAGACTACAAGATAAAGAAAATTTAAATCGACTAATACGGAAAGCATGTAAAATTTCAATATCTACATTCCCCTACTTGGATGAATTGTACATAACAGCTTGCACACAAAAAAATTAATTCCATCTTTTTAGACGACAAGCATCCCTTGTTCCCTCAAATAAAAACATCAGTCAGAAGTAAAAGACCAAGGCTTCTGATCTGTAACAAAGAAAGAGTCATTTTTACCATCATCAATCAAAATACTTCCATCTTAACCATCTTGTAAAAGTATACTTTCGACCTTAGAGTATGCATCAGAATAACATTGAGTGTGTACCAAGCTTGATATAATTATATTTATTGTTTATATTGCTGCTCATTTATATTTTGCATGTGATTGTAAATTGTAAGCCTGCGTGTGTGTGTGTGTGTGTGTGTACATGTGGTGAAACACCAAACCAATGTGCCACGATCTGGACAATAAAGATGTGTCTTATCTTATCTTATCTTATGGGCACCAACATGAACTTGTGACAGAAACGTCGCTCGTTCTCCGAGTGTTTGCAATCAATGTGTTTGTTTTACCATAGCACTCGGTCCTCCTTGTCCGATACTTTTCGCTTTATTGTCACCCTTGCTCAAAAGCAGCAACAAAGTAAAAAAAAAAGAAAAAAAAAGCGAAAACAACACAACAACAATAACAACAACAACAGCAACAATGCGGCTACCTTCGGTTGGGATCTCAGAAAGGAATTGTTTGTTTTCTTCATCTTGATCAGTCCTGCCGAAGACGGCCACCTGTCTTATACGGCCACTTTTCTCCTTGACAATGGGTGGTCGTCTTACACAGGTTCGACTGTATTTTGATCAAGATCAAATCAATCTCAATACTTGTGTCATTAATGTGAATTTCTGGCCACTTTTCCAAGTGAAGCTGATCTTACTTTTAAAAGCTACTCAACTGTACACTTCTTATTAACAGGGGCTAAATGACGACAGAAGATAGACGGGCTTCAGGCCATACACTAAAGCAAATATTTACCCTAAACTTGTCACTCTCGCTAATACTCTGGTGAAAAAGGGTCACTTTCATCTCAGTTTTGAGTCGTGACCTTTCCTCTTTCTGGTCTAGACTGAGACTACCATGTAGCGTCATTGAGGTAATTATCCAAGTTTCAGAGGGTAGCCTGACCAATTATAACAATTGACATGGTGAAAATTTCTGTGCTGGATACTTGTGTGAGTGCTCCCTTCCCTGGTATTGAAGAATTGTGTTCAAACAAAGACATCAGCATCCTACGATAATATGTTGTAAGAAAAGAAAAGAAGAAATATATGTAAGTGATGAGGAACTATGAGGCCACGGATTTGATTCTGAAAAAGAGAAAGGAAAGATGCAGCTATTATGCAGTTAGTTGTGTGGAAGGTGAAGCTGGCTTTACTGTGTAAATAAAGTGTTGCTAGCCTACTTTACATAGTAAACAGAACACCGGGGAAGAGTAGAGTGATGTGAATGTGAAGTGTAGCTTTCCTGACTACTGTGTGTAGCTCTAGATTTCATGGAAAGTACAACTTTTGGTGCCAGTTGTCTAATCGGTCTTCTGCGATAATGTGATAAGTCTTGCCTGACGACTTCGTTGAATTCCGAGTTCCACTGTATAATGTGTGCTCATGGGGAGAGAGAGAAAAAGAGGAGGGGAGGAGAGATGCAAGGGGAGGGAAACAGAGAGATAGAGGAGAGGTAGGAGGAGAGGGG